GACAGATAATTTTGTGTGATGAGTTGCTCTGGGAGTAGAACCACTGCTGCCTGGCTTCTTAGATTTTGTCTTGCAGACCTTCTGCGGGATCTTAGGCATCTCATAAGAGCTGTCATCCTTCTGAAGCCTCTCTTTCAGATTATACATGAGTCTTATTAGGCACTTACTTCCGGAAACTCAAAGGAATGTAATTATTCTTGAGCCCTCTACTCCTCTGCCTATTGTAGTAAATGACTTTTAAATCTGTTGGGCACTTTCAGAGGGATACTGAGAAACAGAGGTACAGAATTGTAAGGTGCAATGGTTTTGTATTTGTAAAAGTTAGAAAAATATACCCTTTTCTGAAACTGCTATATCAATTACAAGAAAATGTGACTGGCATTTTTCTGCATACAAAGGAAAATTGTAAAAACAAAAAGGAGAGGGAAAAATGAGGCAGAAAAGATGAAGAATCATGTAGCAGAGGAGGGAAAGGAAAGAAAAATAATCTGTTAACCCATGTTAAGATAGAGGCTGAAAGAGTGGATCATAGCTTGGAGCCTCATTCCAAATTGGCAGAAAGCAAATACAGGATGTGCCCTGAAAGAGAAAGCCCTGAAACCCAGGACTGATTTGGAGCCACTGTGTTTCTGACAGAATTTTGATGTCTAAGCATTTCTGTTGATTCCAAATCCAAATAGGTTGAAATGGCTAAAGATTGATTATGGAGAAAAATGCCCTTTTATTTCTCACAAGTTAGGCATTCCAGGAGAGGGAAAAATTATTTTGAAGAAAAAAAAAAAAAGTGAAATTTTGCTTAGAAGTGTAATTTTTATTCACCCCAAAATATTTTTAAATGACATTTTGTTTCATTTTGTTTCCTTGGTAATGTCAGAACCATAAAATGAATTTCCAAATATATCCCATTCCATCCAAGTGGTATTTTAATGATTTTAATCCAGAAAACTATTTAGGCAAAATTCTCCTACCAGTCTAGTTGTATTTCCTCTCCAGGCTATGGAGCTATTTTAGCAGAAGCTTTTCAGCTGTGAAGACCTTGGTAATCCCAGGTCTTTGGCAGAATCACTTGTCTTGATTTGACTAATCAAAATAAGAAATCATGAAAAAAAAATATATTTTCCCCAAATTCATAAGTTTTTTTTGTTTGGTTGGTTGGTTGGTTTTGCTTTTTTTTGGAAAAAACATCTTTGACTCCCCTAGCATATGTTCTTGCATGTGTTTTTTGGCACTCCTGAAGAGCAGATCTATTTCTTACATGCTTGCTGACTTATTTCACAGGGGAATGAATTTTGTCCTGGATATGTGTGCAGAACTCTTGTAACAGCCATAGGTTTTCTTTAAAACCTTTGAATGCATAGAGTTCTTGTATTAAAATGAAATTTGCTACCTGCCCACCAGCAAAGCCATATGCTAGCATCAAATGTTAATTGGCTATCAGTTGAGTATTTAGTCCTTCTCATCTGCTAAATGGATAATGCGAGAAACTTATACAGAAGTTAATGGAATATACTTTCTAGTCCTTGTTAAATTGCTTGTTTACCATAGATTTGTTTCATTAGAATCACAACATGGAATGAGTGTCTGATTTCTTACAGCATTGCAGGCTCTTTAAAATTCTCATTCGTTTTCCAGTGTAGACTTAGAGACACACAGGATGGAAGGGACCTCAGATCATCCTGCACAACAACCCTTGTTCTTTGGAAAGGGTCCCATGGCAATCAAAGTGGGAGCTCTGCTTTCAGCTTCTGCCGTACTCAGACTGATGATGGCATGCACTACTCCCACCTGAGCTGCTAGTCCCCTCACCGGAAGGATTGAGGAGGTGCCACTGGGGCCCCATCTCCTTCACCATTACCCCAGAGCTCTTGGTCAGCCCTGTATGCATTCAAAGCCACTCTGATCGTATCACTGGTAGCTATGTGGCAGAGTGGTAGGAACTTGCTATTTAGTGTACTACTGTTTTTGACATAAAAGGGAAAAACAAAAGAAAAAATAGCAAATCAAAATGCTAGCCACTGCCTTTAGTAAGGCTTATTTTCATGGAATCTGTAAAAGGAAAACGAAGGCTGCATCGGCTAGTTTGTAGCTACTACTGTCTTAGGTAGGAATCATTCTTGCCAAGCTTTCATGACTGTGAATTCAACATTCTTAGCTCAGTTTGTTCAACAAAGGACAGAAAGTTTGCCTGAAGTTATTTATACCCAGCTTGCCATTAGTACCCACGAGAAGGTGCAGGATCGTGTGATCTGCCTGGAGGAATCTGAATTCAAGAGCTGGTGACACAAAAAATAATAGATGAAAAAGTGGTTGTTCTCAAACTATGGGCATGTATAAAAATTCCAGGTTACTGTGCTGTGTACTCTTGGAGAGGTCTTGGTCCAGCTGTAGTCCAAGCCAGAGCTATAGAGTGTGCCACAATCTGTGCCTAGCATTGGAAAACCATGTGTTTGTGTTGGAAGGATGTACTAGAATAAAAAAATACAAAACTATTTAAATAGCAAAATATAACGAGAAAAAGTATTATACTGTAGATCAGGAGAAGGAAAGAAAGTTGCTGTTCTAAAGTAGTTTTCAGGTAAATATCAGACATTTATAAGACTTAGTGGATCTTCAGGCCATAGAAGGAACTCAGAACATTAAAAACTTTTCAGGATTGTATTCACACACGACATTGGATTGTGTTTCTACTACAGTAAGATGGTAGTGGTGCCTTTGAGGTTAATGGTAGGAGGATTGTGCCTTTAATGCACCTATGTGTAGTATTCAGTGTTGACTTCTGCATGTGGACTGTGTGCATTGGTAAATATTCATCATACTATAAGCAGGAAAGGCAGGAAATGTATATAATAGTACTGTGATCTGAGAGCTGAGGGTCTCACATGTCTTATATATGTAGTTCATGACAGCAGTGCCCAGCCAAGAGCAAGGTTTCAAAGATTCCCTTCTAAGGTTAAGTTTGTACTATAAGAGTGCTTGATGTAAAAAGTGAAGCATATTTGTAAGTCTTCTAAGGACAAAACTGAAACAAAATACTGTTAAATTTATGTGCAAGCAGCAAGAATTACCTCAGTGTGTTAGACAGAGGGTAGAGAGAGCTAGTGGAGACAAAGGAGAGAAATTGGTTTAGCAAGTTGCTGCCTGGTATGGAATGAAAGAAAGAAAAAAAAAAACCTGAGCTGCAAACTCATCAAAAACAGAATTGTTAATTGAAAAGCTGACAGACCTGTAACTACAGCAGTGCTGCTGGCCGCCACTATAATAAATGTAACTGTACATTTAGAGTAATTTGCTAATTTGCCTATGTAACACCCACAGACAGCAACATGACATAAATACATTAGTGGAAGCAACAACTATAACCAGCTCATACAGGTTCTTGGCTGCTAGATGGATGGATCAGATGAGCTGGAAAAGATTTACAAAACAGAATAGAAATGGAATTGTTAACAATGTTGTGGCATGCAGGATTTCTTTTTTTTTTTTTTCTTCTCCTTGTTTTCCTCAGAATGCTTTAAGTCCTGTAGATGTCCTTACATATTGCAGCACGTAAAAAATGTTTAAAACTTGCTTGTATATGTGTGCACACAAAGAAAATTTGTGGAAATGGAGTATACACCTGCAAAATGTGAAGCATGAAGCATTTCAGAAACAAAAATTGCAGTATTTACATTTCAAGAAGTCTTTCACATGAATAATTGAGTCTGTGTGTAATAATTAATACCCAAACAGAGTTTCCCTTAATACATTTTCTAAAAGCATATATGTATTGGGTCCACAAGCGGGATGGTAAGATCAATTTTCCTAATACAGATGTCAGAAATGTCTGAAGTCTATACGAAGGAGTCATGCAGGTATTTTCATTCAGAAGACACCGAGTTCAGCCATTTATATACTTCTCTGGGCTAGGGCTTTCCATTCTCTCCTCTTTCTGGAACTCTGAATCCCACTGTTGGATTTTGTCTTTCATCCTACTGATGCCAACTCCTACCACATGTATGGACTGGTGACATAAATTCTCTAAATGTCCTGTCTCTGGGTTAGGCTAAGGATCACCACTGAAGGTGAATATATATAGAAACAATATGTTTTGAAAATTAAAAATGATAAGATTGCTACTACCCCTGTAGGTTTTCTCTCAGATGCATATAAAGCACTCAGCAGAAGCCTTCTAGGACAGCTGATCCCTGCTTTATGGGCAGAGTCCAGCTGATAACCAAAGTGGAGTCAGGTGGAAGGGTTCTCTTGCAGTATTGCTTTCAGGAGAAAACACGTGTGTGGGGATACATACTCTTGCCTTCAGCAGGAGGTTGCTGTTAGTTTTTTCACTAACTGTGAGTTGTAAAATATTCTTAAACATGAGTCACTTTAAATTATAGACCATGGATCCAAGGAAGTCAGTGAGAAAATAGAGCTGTGAAAAGCTAGGAATTTCTGGGGGATGTGGAGTTCTGACAGCAGAGCTCAAGGCCTGTCTTGTTTGAAGTCTTGATCTTCAAATCGGGGCAGGGAGGGCAGCAGATCCATGGGTGACCCAAGCCTTTAGTCAGTGAGACTTTGTCAGTGCAGGCTGGCAATGACCGCAGGGCTAGGGAATGAGAACTGGGATAATTTATCGAGCATTGTGGCTGGTTTCCTTTGAACCCTAATTTCTGTCACTGAGTTGTCATGGCTGTCACAGTGATACTTGCGACGCAAATGGCAATTAAAGGGAAGTAAATACTAGAGCAGAAGTCTGCAGACTGTTATTTAAGGATGATGAGTTGAAAGTAGTTTCAACACAATAATGCTAAGCAAGCTAAATCGTACTGTGCCCTGAAGAAGACAGCAATGTCATTTACCCGAAATCACCAGGAATTGTAGTAACACTGAGTAGGAATGTGCTCAATTGTTTTGACTATGTGAGCCTATTATAGGAATCGATAATAGTTTGTGAGTCTGCCTATTTTCTTTGATCGGATTTTCCATAAAACAAGTAATTTGTTTGTTTTTCACTGTTTTAGGTAGCCTGCCCTATGAATACAAGATTGTGATAGCAGGAAATCATGAATTGACCTTTGACCAGGAATTCATGGCTGACTTAATCAAGCAGGACTTTTACTATTTCCCCTCTGTTTCTAAGCTGAAGCCAGAGAGCTATGAAAATGTACAGTCTCTTCTAACAAACTGCATCTATCTTCAAGACTCTGAAGTGACCGTGAGGGGATTCAGAATATATGGCTCCCCTTGGTAAGCAGGTTTTACAGCATACATTAAAAAATATTGTTGATTGCTATCGCATCAGCCATTTTGTATGCATTCAGCCATATTTGGATTGCTGTGTTAGGAAGAAAAGTAGTACTCAATTTGATAAAGTTTTATATATTGTCTTGTAATGAATCACTCTTGTGACAAAATTATATGCTTGTACAGAACGGGTATTGTTAATAAAAAAATGATGGGGGAAAGATAGAGTACTCTTCTAGACTCTTACCCAGGAGCAGTTCTTTAATATAGTCCTTGCAGGTTTTTTTCTGTCATAAAGTATGTTTTCAACACTTAGTAAGTTTATATAATTACAGGTTAATTTTATTGCCAGGATAGATTCTTTTGACAGTTTCTGTCCTACAGATGATAGTTAAGGTTCATTAGTGTATACAGTAGTCATTTAACGCAGCAAGCTTGTTTCAGTATTTGTTCGGGGTTTTTTTCCCTTTGCATCCCTCAGAATCCTACTTTCCTTTATACAGTACTAGCTTTCCTCAAGGTACAGCTGAGCTTTAAATTAATTAAAATCAGCAAATTAGCTGCAGCCTCATATTTCATGGATTTTGCAGTACTGTGTGAACGCTTAAAACTCCTTGAAGTATCAGAGATAGATAGGCCATGGCTTCCTGGCCCTCACCTTTAACCTTTCATGTGCTTCTTCTGTGTCACTGATATTACATTATAATGTTATTTCTGCAAGTAAGATTATAAATTAGGTCTTTTATGGGCGTTCCATACACATTTAAAATAAGTTAAAATTTATTTTAAAAGACATGTTTTTAAGAAAATATATTATTCTTCCTTTGAAAATCAGGCTGGAACATAGCAAGCAAGTTGTCAAACCTGATGCATATACCCCAATGTGAATTTTCAGTGTGAATAAACTGTGAAATCTTTTGGAATTTTTTTTTTAATGAAAATTGGCATTTTCCCATTTGGTTACATGAGATGGGCATTAATTTTCTCCAAGCTTATTATTCTACATTCTTCTATATTAAATAGCTTCCCTCTTAACTGCACCCTTCTCTCTCTTCCTTTTAGTCCTCCAAATCTTTCTGTTGCTGATTGGTTTTTTTGTGTGTTTTTTCAACCTTCCCACCTGCTGTGTTGTAGTTCATCTTCTTGTGTCTCCCCTGTATTCAATCAATATACAATTCATTTTCCAAATTATTAGGGAAGATACTAGATGGTATAATTCCCAATATTAACTTCTGAGAAATGCCACTTGGCATCTCTTCCCATTTTGATGTTCAACTGTAAATACTGTAATTATGCTCTGTTTACAATATGTCTGGCAACTTCATATCTTCATTGCAGTATTCATAACCAGGCACCATATTTCTAGTGTCAGTAATAATTTTCAAGGCAGTGAAGTACCAAAGTCTCATTAAAGTCTTGATAAATTAAATTAAAGCAAAATACTATCTATAAAGTAGCACTAAGTATAGGCAAAAATAAACCATTTGAACTTTCTGGGTTTGATTAGGTCTGTAAAAATCTGTTAAAAAAACCTTTTTCCACCCACCAAGCCATAAATGTTTCTGTAAAATATGATCTGTTGCTTTCCCTTTGTGCATTTATCCTGTGATTTTGCACAAATTTTCTAGGCTGTCTGGCATGACCCATTGTTCTTGAAAAAGATCACTTCACATTTTTCATGCATTCATTTAGATTTACTGTCATACTTATTTTTCCGATTCTGTAGTGCTTTGGGTTATATCTTAGCTTCTATGGTACATGCTTCACAGTGCTGCTAACTCATTTCCCACCCAGTTATGGTCCCGGAAGGTAAGTGTTGCAGAGTCTTTTGAAGATCTACACTTACATCGTATGGGAGAGACTCTTTGTGATGAAACCTAGGCTGGGAAGCTTTTTTGACAAAAAGACCTAGTGTCCGCAGCATTGCAAACAGGTATCTTACAGAGACATTAAATTATCCACAGTGTTACAAGGATTGAAGATGCCTCCTAGAATCTGATAAGTGTAGTGGGTATCCACTGACTCCCTTCCTGCTGGCTAATTCTATCAGTGGTTTATGGAGAATGTCTGTGGAACTGGGATGATGCTTAAATCTGCCTTTGCATATCCTGTGTTGTCTGGTTTCCATAGGGTTCACCATCTCTGTTTTCCCCCCTTGATTGACAAGATGTTTTTTCTTTTTGCCATTTTAAGCATTCCTGCACCAGCTCTGTTGAATTAGGCCTGACATTATGCTCCTCTTGTTCCAGCCAAACTGTTCTTTTTTTTGTCTGTTTGTTACTATGCAATGCTGAATGAAGCAATGTCATATCTAGTGAAAACAGCAGCAATAACAATAAGAAGTTGCTCTACATCATTCTATCAGAAGGATGCGTAGAAGAAAACTTGGTAGAAGTAACCAAATTCCGTCAGCAAGGCCAGAAAACTTAGGAAGAGAAAAAGCTGTTGTGTGTGGGTTAAACTGCCTGTCTGCTAAATTGAAGGCTGAGTACAAGTCTGTGCCTAATGAGCACTACTGTTCTTCAGCATTTCTTTTTGTTTCTATACCTCATTTGCCCAGAAAAGAAAGGTGTTTTCATAGTCTCTCTGGGAAATTAATGTTTCTTTATACATCACAATAATGATAAAAACTAAAAGGTACAGAACACTGGTGAACTTTTTGTGGTGAATCTTTTATTGCCTTTACATGAAGCCAGTTCTTTATAAAAAGCTTACAAATCCAGTAAAGACTTCAAAATTTAGAGTTCTTGAACCACTCAGAGCTCAATAAGAAAGCTAAGTTTCATGCAGTTGCTTGCTCAGTATCCTAAAATGTTTTCTTTTCCAGCCTTGAAAATATGCATATAGCTTTCTTAGTGGATTTGTTTAATTGGAGAACTCCCAATTAGAGTTTCTGTTTGTTGTACATGCATAACTCTAATTAGAAGGTGAGCTATGTAAAAACTGGGGCCCCAGATCCTGCCTTTCTGTTTCTGATTACAGCCCTGACCCTCAGTCTTAATTTACCCTGTGTAAAAATAAATGCAAGCTACAGATATCCCTCCTTTATGAAAAAGGCTGGTCATTGTTTGTAAAGTACTTTGAGAACCCTGGAATAAGGTCTGAGTGAATGCCAGTCGGCATTAACTGAGTGTGTTTACCTGTAGCCATCTGTGTTTTTATATGTGACCTATAGAGAATTAGATTATATTTTTGGTTAAGATGTTTTAGTTGCGGAGTAAACCATGAAAGCTTGATTGGTTTGTATAACGTGCAATTCTCTAAGGCCTTTTAAGTAGGTACCATTTGTATGTGGTTAAATATTTTCAATAGCACTTGGATATTTTGACCTCTACTATTATCTGAAACTCAGTGGTTATTTTTAATTGCAGAGAAGAAATGGGACACTGTCTTGTCTCAGAAACCAATGCTATAACTCTCCTGGGCTTCAGGGGCAAGATTTCAGCGCCAGATTGAACCTCTACTCAATAACAAAAATGTAACTGCCTTAAGCATTAATTACAGTGGTAGTATAATCAGGCAGGAAGCAGCCATTTTGATGCCAATACAAAAGCTTTTGTTTGAAAATATTTGCAACACAAGAGAGTCTAGGACCGGGGGACTATCAGTAAATACAATGAGGGAGAGGAGCATAAAGACATGCATGCTTCATCAGAAACTTGAGAATACCTGGATTTTAAATATATCGAGAGAATCTTGATTTTTAAGGGTTTTCTGTGTCTATGTTTGGCCAAGGAGGCTGATGCTCTTCACAGTGCACCACACACTATTGGTTCACGTGTCTGGATGAGCAAACCATGAAGCGATTTGCCAGAGAGGTTTAATTTATTTTTTAGCAGTGTGTAAAATCATAATGTATAGATACCTATGCAGCAAGCAGGAACAACAGGGAGATGGCAGAGCACCCATTCTTAGGTGTTTCCAAGGCTTAACACGGCAGTCGTGGCTGACCCTATCTAGTGACTGTTTCTGCCCTTCTTGCAGTGGTAGGTTGGGCTGAAAACTTACAGAGATCCCTTCTGAGCAATGTTGCTGTGATTGTAAATCCTGCTGTGGAGCTAGAGTGAGGTATGAGTGTTGATAACTGAAATGAACAGGTATTAAGATGTTCTTAACTCTAGGGAGCTTTTCTCTTGACCTCTAAGAGCCAACAAGAAGTGGACGGTCCAGACAAATGGTTTGCAAGTCAGGAAGCCAAAATAACACGAGAAGTTTGAATTTTTGGCAGAAGTTCTTTTCTTTGTCATCAAACTGGGTGTTATCTGCATGAGGATATCATGCATGGATCCATATTAATTAATGATTAGCGAGCATTATAGGTCTTCAGCTTTCCATTATGGTTCCTTACCTCCATAATGTACAGTAAAATGTACTATTATTGCAAAGGTAAGAGTGTTAGCTGCATCCAGAATTAAGATAAAATCCACCTGTGCCTGTGTACTGCTAACAGTTTTAATTAGTCATACACTGAGTTTGCATGAGATTCATTCAGTGCCCAAGATGTGTTATGCTTGCTGAATGGGCATCTATGTATTCTGTGCTCATTATTTAATTACAGTAATTTATTTTTACATGGTGTTAAGGTGCACGTATGTTTTGTATTGTCATGAGAGCACCTTGCTGAGTTTCATACTTGCAGGTGTGATCCTGAGTGTTGCTACATCTGCTTCTCTGTTGCATGAGGTTGCAGTAATACCAGGCTGAAGCATGGCTGGAGCTTAACAGGGTCTGCTGTACTGTGTTGTTTCTCTTGAGCTTTTAACAACCCAGTGAATAAATAACATAGCCCTCTGTTCTACTCTTGCATACCGTAACTAATGAGAAGACTTGAAAATGAATGGATTGACCCCTATATCTGGCAAAGGTTATATTGCTGCTGCCTTAATGTCTAATATTGCATCCCTGTCTCATTTATTGGTAAGGTGTACATTTGCAGACGTTATTTTGTATTTATGCTCTGACCTTGTGGAAAATGGCAGGAATTTCTATTTAAAGGTGGACTA